GCCATTACTCACCCACTATATATCAATTTTTCAACATCATTGTCCCCCGCTGTGGAAAAGCCTTTTCCAAACTCGAAGACTCGCTGACAAGCCAAACAAATGAAACATTCTCAGATTAGCAATGTCAATGTTGCTTCGGAAATGTCGGGATAAATTGCCTTTGGCCTTTGTCATCAAAAACTGAGGATGCCCGTTTCCTTGAGGAGCAGGCAAAGATTTATCGCACATGATATTTGTCAAAACGGCGAGATAAAGATACACAAATACACACACTCGCTGATAGATACAAAACTGCTGTCAGCGGATTTGTGTGCTGAGCCTATGAAAAGACGATAAATGAGCCTGAATTGAACAAACAAAGACGATGGCCCAACAAATGAGCCGGGGATTTCGGGCCCTCGAAAGAGGTTATCGCCGGCACTTGTGGCTTAGTTATACACACTCTTAAAAAAATGTATTTTAAAGTTGGGAAAATTTAGAAATTTCTTTAAAAAACACTTTGAAATTAATGAGACCATAATATATCTAACTATTTAAATTTTATTAATAGAAAATTTATATTTTTTCATATTTTCTAAACAAAATGATACATTCTTCCGACACTTTTGGATTAATTCTCAATCTTAAAGAAAATGTAAAAAACGCAAGAAATTTCTAAGATCTCAAAATCTTTAAAATCGATAAAATTATTTTGTTTTCTGTTAGTTTGTTATTTTTACATATTTTGTAATAAATATTAAATAGAATATTACTTTTAATATTTCTCCTGTTTTTTTTTTCAAAAAATAAATATTGAATGGAATATTACTCTTAATAATCCTTCTGTTTTTTTTCTTCCAAACTTAAAGTTAGTGTTTTTAATCAGTTTATCAACAGATAGTTTCTCAGTTTAATGGTTAGTATTTTGGAGAGTGCTCTTAAGATCCGAAGATGGCCAAAACTTAAAGTTTTATCAGCGTCGAGGCGTCTGAGACACGGCCGAGTCAACAAAAACAAAACAATTAAGCGAACGACAGTGGGAGTGGGATCGAGCGATGGAGAGAGGGAGAGGGCGAGCGAGCAAAGTGCAGCACATAGCGTAAACTATTTACTGATAAGAGTATGACTACACATACACATGAAGTCGAGAGAGCTCTGAAAACGGCTGAGCAAACACTTGCAAACTCGACAGTTTGTAGATAAAGTATCTGCCAGATACTCTCACTCTCCTCTCCCACATGCTCTCTCCTTCTCCTTGTCCCCCTCCCTCCACCGACTATCGCTTTGGACAGGCTCTCTCCCTCGCTCTCTCTCTCACTGGCAAGTGTTTGAATCTCGTAGATACTTTGGCCTGCCCGCCTCGGAAACCCATTTCGTTTTTAATTGTTTTCAGTTTTTGAATTTAGTTGTATTCGATTTTCACGTACTCGCGCACTGTCGTCGCAGAAGTGTGCGTTGTTTCAGAAGTTTCAATTTGGAATTGTACAAGTCTCAAGTGAGTGTCGTGTCGTTAAGTGCTGGGAATCATCATCGCCACTGACAGTTTGTTATTTGAGAGCCCCACAAAGTGGTTCCCCCCGATCCCAAAAACCCCCCCAGCTCCAAAAAGTGTTTTTCCCTACGTATACATGGCGCCCGAGCAGGGACTTCTATGCATATACGTACTATATGTACATTTAAGAGGCGCTCAAGAACTGCTTATCGGGCAGCAGCACATGCAAACAACACAGGCCTTTCAATTAGGCAACAAAACATAAATCTTACTCGCCGACAATGAGATGCGGGTCGCGTGTCGTCCCCCTTTAAAAAAGTAGAGAAAAACCACCCATCTATAGTTCGAACTTCGAGTCGAAAATACTTTTCAAACTTCGCTCCAAACTTCTGATGTCATGCCCATTCTATTCCATATTCTGTCTTCTCACTTCTCGTTCGCCTGCAAACAAGTAGCTCACGAAAAGTCATAATATCATACGAATGCCCAGGGGCTCTGGGTTCCCCCTTTGATTGATTCGGTCTCACAAGGAACCCCATCGCTTGGCTTTCGCTATCTACGTCTCTGGCCCGACCGCCTTATCGACAAACCGAAAAAAAGTAACGAAAATAAACCTTATCGCCGTCGTCTCCGCTCGAGTGATAACTGTGAGTCCGACAGGGAGATAAGTTGGCCCTATGTATGTAAGCATACGACTACGAGTGGCTGGGTAAATGGAATATTTTTCCATATGCCAGGCGTTTCTTTCTGTTCCACATAAGAACTTTGATGATAAACCGGGAAGTGAGAGCAGAAATCGGTTCTTGCAGGCTTCCTTTCCTCGAGTTCTGGATACCGCAAAGGGTGAATGATTCGTTCTGTACACATACCATGTTCCCCATAGCGAAAGCTGTTCCAATATGTATTCCAACTTGCGCCTAGAAGTTAGATAACACATTTGATACACACAATCCCAAGTATATATGTATATGCAACCTGTTTCAAGGCACTCCCCCACTTCTCTGCGCCCACTTTCGCCGTTCGAACGGTTTCAAATGATTATAATTCCGTCGCCGGAATATCCTTGGGCTGATTGGAGAGTGAATTTCATGCTGCAGCTGTTTCCAATTCATCACCATTAACACATTTTCGGCTTGAGTGCATCAATGACGTTTTCTCGTTGTTGTGTTCATGGCTTCTAAGCAAAAAAAAGAAAGAAAAGTCTTTTTTTCTCTTTGCGAATTTTCCCCAGTCTCATTTGGCCCGCTGCAGTTTTCAAGGACACAGAAAAAGTGCACAAAAATGTCGAGCACTTTGCGTGTTTGCCTGCCATGTGGCATGGGGCATCTCTGGGGACTTTCAAATGGGGGCGGCGGCTCACTTCTCGGAGATTTGGGACCAACATTCGGCCTGAGCCTGAAATTTGATTGCCAAGTTGTCGCATTTATAATGCGACTTTTGTTTAGACATCCAACTGACGCCATTTTTCGAGCCGCTCGCCTCGAATGGGAATTCTTCTACGAGCGTTAGCGAAATAAAACAAATAGTCGACCGAAAAGCATTAAGTGAATTAATTGAAAAACTCAAATGCCAAGCCGAGGCGCAAAAGCAACTGGTTCTCTCGCATCGAATCGCATCGCATCAATCGAAAACCCGTTCTACAGCACGCCGCATCCCGTGCCACTGCTAAATCGATCTTTAGTTTCTTGCTTTTCGTATTTGTAGCCCCACTAATTTCTTAAGTAAATGCAAATTTGTGCGACCTACCTGTTTTGTTCTCGGTGCTGCGTTGCTGACGACAGGTGCCGTGATTACACTGGACAAAAAAGAGTAGTTGAAATGGACAATTAAATATTTTGATTATGTAAAGATTTGTTCAAGTATGCAACCTTTGCTGGCATAAAAAGTCATTTAAACTGGATTAATAGTGGTATAGATATTTTTGAAAGAGTTACAAAACCTCAAGAAATTTTAAAATTATTTACATGTAAATTTTTTCTCTCTGTGCAGCGCAGGCCATACAATTGCAAACCAGTATCTAATAGTACGCATTGCGCCGTGTATCTATGTATCTGGTCGCTTTTGCTTAGCATTGAACGTCCGTCGGTGGCTTTGCCATCTCTTCGATTTATTGCTCATTTTGCTTTGTGTTCGCTTAAAAAAAAAACGAAATAAACTTATTCAATGGTCAAGGTCGTTCGCAGTCAAATCGAATACACACACCAACACAACAAACGCACACTTGAGCCCCAACAGCACTAGAAACCGAAATAAAATATATAAAAATGTTTGTATAATTAAACGCCATTTTAAACAAATAAATGCGCGTCGTCTGTCGTTGCTGCAGATTTTCTTTTTGTTGCTTTTGTTGGTCGCGCTTCGGTTTTTGTGTCGGCGCATTTTTAATTAGCAATGAAATCATAATAAAATAAAACATCTCATGCATAATTGAGTTGCAAGTTGGGTTCATTTTCATTGCCATGTTTATGAAAAAAAAAACAAAAACTGGCTCAGGTATTCATAACTAACTAATACTGTTTCATGGGGAGGGACTTGTTTGGATAGCTTTTAGGTGGAACGAATTTGAATTAACAATTCATAAACTTAGTGTTTGGGGAGTTATTTTTAGGATCGTGATTTTGGTATGATTATTTGGAACCTAAATTAACGATAACCTAGGTTGTGTAAGGGAGTTATAAGTTAGTAGAAGTTAAGACTTTGTTACAGAAAACAGAGATTTCATTAAGGGATATATTTTTTCTGACCTTATTTACCCGACTTCTTTAAATGAAACTAAACTAATGCTTTCCATAGATAGAAATAAGATCCTAATTTTAGAGCGTACATTTAGATACAGAGTTTTCTCAGTCCTTCTAACCTCATTTCCCCACATGGGATCCTTTCTTATAGGGGGCCTGCTTTCAAAACTATTTCTATGGATTCCTGTAATTCATGCTGTCGTCTGCTTTTTATCATTCCACATGCTCAACGTTCACAAGCTTGCTTCAAACCAATCTATCTGAAACTCCCCCCCCATCTGCCTGCCCCGAACCGTTTTGATATGTGAATGCCTTACACAATCCACGCTTTTGAAAGATCCGCCCGGTCCACCCCCGAAAATCCCGCCCCCTTTTTCGCCCACTCTCACAAGAGCTGCCTTGCGCTCATTTTGTAAATATATTCTTTTAAGTCGAAAGAGCAACAAAACAAATCAATTCAACTCAACTCAAATAGAATCAACTCAAATGTTTGTACCTTTCTATCTAAATGTTACTCACCTATGTGTGTTTTACTACTCGAGAAATGCATTGCCACTCTGACAACTGTATCTATATCTACAAGTTTAATGCGAAGTACATACCTATATATTGCCTAAATGTTTACTGTATGTATATTTATTATTGCTGCATAATTCACTCATAAATATTTTTTTCTTTTTCTTTTTTCATATAAACGTTTACAAAAAACAAAACTCGCACATTCCACCACAAAACCACAATAAAAAAAATAAAAATAAAACAATATAAATGAAATGAAAACTGAAATCTAGAAGAATCATAAAGAGTTTATGTGCATATGCATATATAGCGACGTTCACGAACTGTCACTGTCACTGAGAGCGATCGATAGCTGTAACTCCATGTGTGTGCATGAGTCGCAGCATTAGTAGCGCACCCAAGGACCAAGGACCTCATCCACATAGCCCATCAATCTCTCAGATGCCAGTGGCGGATCCCCCCCGATAAGGCATCGCATCGAATCGAATTGCATCCATTGGACGAGGACGACGACGAGGACTAAGGACTACTCACAGGACTTGAAGGACACTGACTGACGCATCCTGCGCTCGTTTGATCGTTCGTTCGCTCGCTCGCTCTATCGCTCTTTCGCTCTCGCACGCACCAAAAAAACCAAACAGAAATACCAGAAACAATACCAAGCAAGCCAAAAACCAAATAATACCAAGCTAAACAGACGCCTCATTACCAAACATCGAACGTTTCGTTGTCGTTTAACCAAAAAACCAAAAGCGAATCAATACCGAATCAATACCGAATCAATCCAATCAAATCCAAGCCAATCCAAACCAATCCAATCCAATCAAATCAAATCGAAAAAGAAATACTCCAACGAGACATAGAAACAGAACAGTAAACAGTACCAGAAACATCTACAGTAACAGTAACAGTAACAGAAACCCAAAGCAAAAGCTAAAGCTAAAGCAATCATCAGTCAAAGTCGATAACCAAAACCAGCAACATTCAGTTAAAAATGGCCGAAGACGCTACCATGGAGACATGTCCAAGTCCTGAAATCGGCGACTCACGCAAAAGGCCACTCGATTCCGATCCGGAAAATGAACAAACTAAACGCTCACATTTCAGTTCCGGTAAGTTGACCAAAATCCAATCCAAATCCAAATCAATATCCAAATCAAATTCCAAATCAAGTTCCGAATCAAATTTCGAATCAAATTCAAATTCAAATCAAAATCGAATCCCAATTCATTCCGCCAGCAGAAGGAAAGAAACTGAAAAATATCTCAAATCGCTCTTCCATATCCCCATTATCGTGCTCTCTCCTCTACTCTACTCTCCTTATCTCTCTCTTTCTCTGTCTATATATCTGTCTATATCTATCTCTCGTTCGTTATCTATCTATCCAATGCTCTTTATCTCCGAAGCGTATAAATAACTCATTGAATTTGTTTGCCTAACTTTTTTGCCGATCGTGCCGTTTCCCTTCTTTGTTATATGGTCATGTTGTTGTTACCACCGCAATATATATCCCAAACCCCCCGATATACTACTACTATACTACATACATGTGTGTATTATACCCAGTATCTATGATTTCGTTGCTTTTTTGTCGTTTGTCGCTCTTGTTGTTGTTCCTGTTGTTGTTGTTATTTGTTAAGTTTCAATTAATCAGCACGAGAAATTCATTTGCAGTTTGCCCCCAATACGTTCGATGTCAGTTTTGCAACCGAACAGGCACAGACTTTGATTCGTAATTAAGCCAGATATGGCGTATACGCCCCGTGGGTACATCACTCGTATATCGTACACCCAAAAAAAACAAGAAACAGAACTAAATGACAACTGGCATCTGGCTGGCGGCTGAATCTTTGCGCAGGATTTGGCGCCGAGACATTGTGGGCCCAGTTTGACCCAATTTTCGGAATGACCTCCGCCTGAAATCTCCTGCAGCTTCATCAATGGCCTGCAATTAGATACAAGTGCTAGCCACTCCGTCCCTGAGCTTCTCCATAGAGTGGCATTTGAACAGCCTGCACTTGCTATTGAGTTGAGTGTGTCACAAAGATTAGCATTTGAAAGAAGAAGCTCCTCCTCCGATCTTTGCAGTCCGTAATCCGTAAGCTCCATTGCCAAACCAAACCAAACCAAACCCATATCCATATGCTGTCTGTTGTCTGTCCGTCTGACCACGAGCTATTAACTAGTTGCTTTGCATGATTTGTTCGGCTCAAAAAAAACCAGCTGGCGAGCTCCAAGGTGAGCAGCCACTACGCAATCGAAGTACCTGTCGTCATAGCAACAAAAATAGCAGAAGGTGTAAATGTTAGAGTCGGCCTGTCGCCCCCGCTGGCTTTTGATATTTAGACGGATTGAGGCAGAAACGTAAACACGTTTTCGAGTTTCTTACTGTCAATTGGAAAATATGTAGTAGTCTTCGTTTAGTTTTCATTCAGCAGAAGCAGGCTATGTGGAATACGTTAGAGAAATACAAAAAAAATCTAGAGAAAATTCGCCCAAATTCATGTGTTATCTTGATGCTGCATCAAAATTCTCAAGTTTTAATTCGTTGATTGGAATGCGGAAGTTCTGTTCGAGTAAGTTCAAGTTTGTTAGATAGGTAAATATGAATAATTTCTATATTTCCATATTCCATCCATTTAAGATGATCCATAGTTTATGGGTTGTCTTCAAAAACAGATACCATTTTATCAGCTGTTTGGGGACTCTCCATTCAAACATTAGGCACTATTATGGATGAGCCCAGATAAACGCATAGATACATTACGTGTGTGTGTACAGCTGGGCATTTGTAATTAATTAGCCACTGAGGCTGTCTTTCTCTGGATTTGGACACAGAACAGGTCCGTGTCTCGTATAGGTTTGGCTATTTACCCACGTCGCTTTATTAGTTCTCTGGCAATTTATTTGCTTAGCTGCCTTGACAGTCATTTGTTTTGTTTAATATCTATTTAATTTTTTCAGTTTTTCTTGTTATTTATGGCTGTCATGGTTGAATTTCTGAATAGTCTGGGAGGGAGAGAGAGAGAAAAATTAAGTGTTGGAGATACACGGAGAAAAAGCAGCTTACAGTGATATTTAAATTATTAATTTTTCTACATTTTAGGGCGATATAATATCTGTTTTTCAATTTAAGTTCTTTTCAGTCACGTTTTCGTGTAAATTGCTTAAGATAAGTTGTTCCTTGGATATCTCAGGTTTATTATTTCCCGTGTAGCCCCGACTAGAAATGCGTCAGTTGCTGGGGCTGCTGCAAAGGAAATGCAGTAAAATTGAGGAAAAACGGGGCGGTGGGTCAGTATTGGGTACTCGGTACTGGGTAGTGGGGCTTATGTAATCAGTGCTGGCAGGGCAGCTGGAAAAGCGTGCGAATAGTAGGGGGTGTGTGTACTGTAGCATAGAGTGTTTCGCCGTGAGAGAGCCGAGAAGAGAGCAAAGAAGAGCTAAGCTGGGCTGCTGCTCTCGGAAAACGTTGACAGCATGGCAAGCGGTTGACCTACTTTGATGACAATGCGGGTGCGTACGTGTATCTGTGAGCCTGTGGTCGCTGGCTCGGTCTTTTTTTTCCCTTGGTTTCAATTCGTTTCGCCTAGGAAAGGTCCTGCGCAGTAGCAGCAGGACGACTCGAACTCGAAACTCGGCGGCCATTCAGCTGCACTGCAGCATTTGGCGCCATTGCAGCCGCCGCAGCAGCCGCAGCAGCAACGTCCTTGAGTGGTGGGTCCTGTGCAACTAGCTGCATATCCTGGCAGCTTGGCTGCTGTTGCCTGGCCAAATCTCAAGTGCGTTTACTGCCTAAGGGCTGTTCGCTCTCTCTTCCTTCGCACTCTCACTGCTTTTTTCGGCCACAATCTGAACTGTGGTATCTCTGCGGCGCGTGTTTTTGGGTTACCTTATTCTTAGGTGCATTCCATTGTTTGCGGCTCGAGTGGCCAGGCATTTGGTGTGACTGCACTTGTAGAGCATCTCGAGTGGCATACTAATAGCTCGAGGGGCTACTCTTTTGGGGCCAGTGATTAGGACAAGCCGGGCTTCCTCTGATAATGGGGTCAGAGGTCTTCCAAGCCCTCTAATTACGCATACGCAGCGTGGGTCGGTCAGTCAGTCCTCTTAAATAATTTAGAAAAATAAAAAATCTGGATACTCCAAGTTTATTCCACTTGCTCTGATGAGAATATTGTTAAATTCTATAACAAATCTTGATATTTCAAGTTAATTCCACTTGCTCTGATGAGGATACTGTTAAATTCCTCATTTCCTAAAGAATTCGCGTGTATTTTTTATTGTACAATTTACTTTTCCTTGATCCGAGCCATTAAAGCTCTGCCACGAAGCCAATTTGGCAGCTAAAATATTCGGAATTGCTTTAAATCAGACTCGTAGGATCCCACCCCCTACTTGCAGTTGTCATTTATGGATCGCCTGGCATATAGAGCTTAATTTGCCCATTGAATGCTTATTGATTCGAGGGTGAAAACGTGACACGTTCACTCTTTCCGCCGCTGGGCTTATCACGTTGGCTCATTCCGTATCACATGTTGCCACAGCAGTTTCTATTTTCGACACACGCCCCCCACTCGTGTCTCCGCCCCTGATTTCCCTCTCTCTTTCTCCCTTTCCGTCTGTCTCTCCGTTGATAATGAACCGAGTGACATGGAGCGAAGTGAGGCAATCAGCGGGGCAGCATTAGATCATATATACAGAGACATCATCATCATCATCATCTGCCCATGATCGTACACTCTGACTCATGAACCTCGCTCTCTCTCGGCGGGATAGGATCTCTCTCGCTTGTAGATTCTCCAATTCCATTTACAATTCTCCGGCTCTCTGGCAAACTCTATGCTTGAGTCGCGGCTCCGTCTTCGCGTCGAACGGAATTCTTCAGTGCGGTTTGGTCGTTCGTTTCGTGCGCTCGCTCGCTCGCTGTCGATCGTTTTCCATACGAAATTCCCAGCCAACGCGCCACAATTTAGCCAGTGTTTTCGTTAGTTTTTTTTGGCTATTTTGGCCAGCAGCATGTTGTTTGCCCGTAGCACCACCTCCAACTCGTCCACGTCGCTCAGTCCGCCCGCCATGATGATGCAGCAGCAACAGGATCCAGGATACAGCCATCAACTCCATCAGCAGCCAGCCTTTCAGCTTCAGCAGAGCTTCTGTACGTTAAGTGTATCTGTTTCTGTTTCTGTTTTTTTTCCGTTCTGTTGACCTTGGTAATTAGCGTGTGCATTTGGTAATTATAGGGTTTATCTCATTCGGTATTTGCCAGGAGCTTTATTAGCTCTGTTTGCACACAGTCACACACTGCGTATGCGTAATATTCCGATATTAATGTTAGGCAACGGCAACGCGACAATTAACGTCTTGTCAACTGGGTTTATCTAGCGTTTCAAGGTCGCCTCTTGGTTTGTTGTTCTCTCTCTTGGAAACTCACGCACACACTTTTCCATCAATATTAACATTTGCTAATCGCTGAAAAGCTGTCTACAAACCAAACCAAAACCAAACCCACACAGAGCAATGTATTCAGTTCAATGCCAGTCATAATGATTATTCAAAAAAGCACTAAACAAACGACAACTCGAGTTGAAGTTTGACCTCAGCTCAAGCTCGGATCGGATTGAATCTCGGCCTCTTTATCAGTTGATTCTCAACAATCAATTTCGAGTTAGTTGTTCGTAATTAACTCGAGAGTCACAAGTACTCGCTGTACTTAGAGCTCCCAAAAAAAAAAATCAATCGAAAAAAAGACAGAAATGTTGTCTTGAAAATGCGGGAAGCAAAACGGCGGCAAAACGTAACCTTGAAAAGCGATTTGAATGTGGGCAAACATGTCTCACTCTATCTCTGCGATTGTGTGCGTTTGAAAGAGCCAAAAATAAGTCAAGACACTCGTGGCCATGCCCAAAAACTGCTCATGTTGCTCGGGCTCAGAAAAAACAAACCAAGAAAAAGAAATAGAAATAAAAGTAAAAACACACATATTATTTCAAGCAAAAAGCTTTGCTCCAGAGACGTGCGGGCATTTTACTTGTATTTTTCTTGGCAAGTCGTCTTCTTACTCTTCTTCTGTTGCCCAACTGTCTTGGCTGGCATTTTTGGGCGAAAATGT